TTCTTGGTTGCAATTGCGACCAACCAGTGAAACCAAGAAACCTGGTTTAACTAATCTCCATTATTCAGGACTTTAGAGAAAAAAACTTTGTGACACATTCTAGAAAGTTCGGCGGGATGCACTAAAACCCCCTTACTTCCCACCGGTAAAACCAAACTTCTTTCCCAAGGAAACCTTTTGCTTTGCCTATGAAATGTTTGGGGGAAACCCAGACCATTAGAAAAGCACCAACACAAAGCTCTTTTATATTATCAAGACATCTTTAGTGGGAGCCGGAAAAACCGAGAGCCAAGAAATTGGAGATACTCATAATCACTGATTTTATCAATTGAACTCGACCCGCATAAGAGAGAGACTTACTTGTCCAGGACAGTAAACGACCTCTTATTTTTTCAATGAAAGGCGCATAATCAAGACGCGTCATGGATTTAGTTGTCAAGGGCAGGCCAAGATACCGAATGGGAAGGGAGCTGCGACCAATGCCATGCTCAGACGCGGCCATTACGGCTAAGTGCTTATCTTTACCCGCAGTGAATATGGAGGATTTTGAAGCGTTTATACTCAACCCTGACATGTTGAGTACGGCTAAGTGCTTATGTTGTTCTATTGTTGAATACGACAGATACAAGTAAAACTCCAGAACATCGAATAAATTAAGATCCATGACCATAACACTAATGATATAAATTTTATATAATAAAAAAATATTAGTAAACTCTACCATGTATATACATGAAATAGAGATTAATTCACAATGATCATCAATAATCGATCAAACCAAAAAATAAAAATACAAACGCACTGAAATTAAAACAAACACTAATAATACCTTATCATACTTTCTTTTTTACTTCAGCAACTCGTTTGTCTAAACTCGTTTTTATCGAAACTTCACGATCGGTATACCTAAGACAGAAATCAAAAGATACAAAATCAGTAAAAATAAATAAATAATTCGTAGAACAACCAACAAATTCATATAACAAAAAGCATAATCGCATGATAAGAAATTCGATAAGCAATATAAAAAACCCTAATAGCAAAACTATTTATTGAACATAAAAAGCTGGTTCGTAACTGTGGGGCAGAAACTCTGTATTTATAGCCTCAAACTTAGGGCAAACCTCCGATATTATCTTAAGAAATTTAACTTTTTTAATTAGAAACTAAATCAGAAAACTAACAAAAACGAATATTAACTACTAAGATATAGAAATTATCCAAAAAATAACATATAAATTAAAGCTAAGATTCCATAATCATTAAAGTCGAGATATTATGACCTCCATATCCCCAACGATCATACTATAAAATAAAAAAAATTAAGGGTGATTAAGACTAATCATCACAAAACACGATTAGACTTATATACCCTTAACAACTAAGAACAAAAATTTTCGAATTGAGGGTGTTTAGGACATTATTATAGAGATCAACACACGATTAGACTTATATACCCCTAATTACGAAGAAGGAGAAATTTCGAGAAGAACAATTCATTAAGGGTGTTTAGGACAAATCATTCTAACTTTTAACCACAGGCCTCCAATGCCCTAACTTTCAATATGGTGCGTTTCTACTTCTCAAATAATTATTGTAGAGATAATAATTTATTTTCTTGGATTTTATAATACTAATCATTTAGCTAACGAGATAATATAGACGGGTTTATATGGGATGACGGGTTTGGGTCGATATTAATAAATAACGGTATATCACGGATGAAATCCTAAAATTAACAATCAAAATACAATTATAATATCTTAAACACAAAACAAAAGAAACAATATCAACAAAACAAATCCAACTTAAATTTAAAATTTTTAGTTATAAAAAAACCGACCCACGGTATACTGTAGAGTAAATATTCAAAATTTTAAAATCCACCATACATCGTTACTTAAAAATAATGTATGTTTTCGTATCTATACTTCAAAAATTGATAGATAGATATCTACATTTAAAAATACAAATTAATATGATATATCTTCAGTTAATCTTTTAAAAATTAACATTACATTTTTTAAAAAAATATAGCTCTACGGTATACCGCGGGTTAAATTCTAGTTATGTATATATAATTATTAATTTATGATATTAATGGGACTATATATTTATATAAAAATTCTAAAAAAATTATTATTTTATTATCTTATCGAATGTGGTCAAATTCTACAGTACCCCGACTTGGACAAGACAATTTTATTATTTTATAGTATTATTTATTCTACCGTATTTCAAAAGCTTTTCATCAAAGTAGTATATTGCTAAGTTGGTAGTACATAAAATTCTGAAAATGTTAAAAAAGAGAATAATATGCAGATGAAAAAATGGTTTGACATTTTTAAAGAACCTAACTAAATCTTGATGTTGAAGTAATTGGAGTCAAAATGATGCAGCCTCACGTAGCCGTCTTCACCTCCACTAGAGAAACTGAAAAATACATTCCACAAACTCAGTGAGAGAGCCAAAAACACACTCAAAAACTCATCATGTGAGGATTGTATCAATCTATCAATCAAAATCAAATGTTGTTAGTTTACCTCTTCCCATCAGGATTGAATGCCAACGCATTTATAGGTCCAAAATGACCTTTCACACCACCTATTTCCTCTTCCAGAATCTATATGTATTATATACAAAATACACAGTTATATATCTCTTTTCCAGGTTACATGTTTTCAAATAAAACTTTCTAATTGTAACACTAACCGTGTCGTAAAACTTAGCTTCAAACTTCCCAGCACGATGATCAGTGGTAGTCACAGCTGATGCATCTTGACCACCTCCAAGCACAACCTAAGAGAGAGCAGAAACATTCACAAAGATTAACATCAAGACTTGTGGATTTTGGAAATTGATTTGAATTTTCAAGAAGCATTAATTCATACATGGTTGAGAAGTGGAGACATGGCAACAGCATTTACAGGCACCACTGTTGTATAACTCTTAATAAGAGTCAGCGATCTCATATCCCAAAGCTGAAAAAATCAACAAAAAGAACACTTTATTAGATGATTTATCTCTACATGTATGGTGCAAAACTTTGAAACAGAAGGAACACATGCCTTTGCAGTTTTGTCATGTGAACCTGTAAGGAAGTGAGAGTCATCAGCTGCTTTGCAGAGCGATGTAATGGCCTCCTTGTGACCCACTTCCACATCTGATTGCTTGAGCAATTTTCCAGTCTAGTAACAATGGCAGTAGCACCACATAAGGTTTAAAAGGGAAATTGATAGACAAAAGAAAGCCATGAAGCAATATGAGCTACCTCGGTATCCCAGATTCTGATAACAGTATCTTCACCACCACTAACAATAGTTTGGTTCAGAGGACCCCAAACAGCTCTATTGATCTTCTTCTTTCCGTCAGGACTTTGAAGGACAAGCACAGAATCACCAACCTCTACACCATTGCATTAAACCAATTTCCTTTTAGATATACAAGACATAAGGCTAAAAAACATAAGTAGATTTGAACCTAGAATTGACAACTTACGGTCTTGGGGATCTTCCGCAATGCGTTTCACATGAATAGCAGAGGAAACTCCCATGAAGTGATCAGTGGTAATCACTGCAAGATGATCTCCAACAGAGAAATCCACAGACCTCGCCGAAGAACCAAAATTGAATGTGAATAATTGTTTTCCAGATTTTACATCCCAGAGCTTTGCAGTCTGATCAGCACTACCAGTGATCAATCTTGACGAGTCTCCTAACAAATCACAAACAAATAACTAAACATTACTATTTAGTTATCAACAAAGACATCGACTAGAACCCTAAATTGAATCCATTCCATCCACTCAGTACTATATGAATTTGAGAAGCTGAGCAACTTACGGGAGACATCACAGCACGAAACAGCACCATTGTGGCCACGGTAAGTTCCAAGGCGCTCGCCGTTATGGGCAAGCCAGAGGGTGGGAGTGTGGTCCTTGGCGCAGGAGAAAAGCAGATCGCCATCTCTGTTGTACCTGAGGAATGTCAATGGACGTTCATGTCCCTTCATCAAGATCGGCGTCATCCTCGTTTCTAGGGTTTGATGCGAAGAGTTTTGAATCTTGAAAACATACGCGAAATCGATTCAATAGAAAGAACAAAATATGATTGAATTATCGGAATCGGATTAGCCACATCTGAAATTCACAAGCATCGTATAAAGGAACTAAACTTGTGCTAAGTTTAACATACACGAGATATGCATACATAATTGGCGAGCATCTAATCGAAGACCTTCGGGATTAACGCACTCCATTGTCATCACGGAGGAGGCGACGGTTGAAGGACGGTTTCGATCAGCGGTCAGTGAGATTTTGAGGAGACCAAGGCTTGTTTGCCATTGAACCGGAAATGAGAATCACGACTGCCACTTTAGAGTCTGAGAGTGTCACTCAAATGTGTTATTTCTATTTTGCCCTTAATGAATATTTTGATTTAATTAATTTTTAAAATCTAAAACGAAAAAGAAAACAAAAAAGCAACAAAAACTTTTGCTCGCATCCTCTCCTCCCAAACTAGAGGTCGCACCGCCGATCTCGCCAGCCGTTGTCTCCGGCGTCTCGCCCTCGCAATCGGTTTGTTCTCCTCTCTCTTACGCCATTATAAAACTTAGAGATTCTTTCTTAGTTCCTCAATCTTCCGATGGATATCAACAATAATTACCACCGCTCCGACGACGACGACAACGCTCCGACGACGACGACAACGCTCTCTCAGTCACCGGATGTCCTGCATAAACGATTCGAAGTTTCAGATCATTGTATAGTCTTCTTCATCTTTTGTCCTTCTCGTTTGATTTGATTTCTCTTCGAAGAACAAGAATTTCAGTATGCGTTTATAACTTTATATCTAAGATCTCTTGTTGATTCGCTTAGATGAGTGTGGTGGGATTCGATGTTGGGAACGAGAACTGTCAATTCTGTAATCATGAGTTCTTATGGCAAATATTACCTCAAAAAATACTTTAGTCTTGAATTCCATTGCTTGTAATTGCCTCGTTGCCATCATTGTAATGTGTGTAAGGAAAAATCTGATTTGCTACCATGTTGTGCTTAGTAGTGAAAATTCTCATTGTATGGTGACCACTTTTTAGTGATAGAGAAAGAAAGCTTTACTCGATCCATGTTTTCCTTATGCAGGTCAAAGATGTGATCTCAAGATGGATCATCACAGTCTTTGGATTTTTAATTGTGATGCCACTAAAGACGCCCATGGAATCTGCTTGTTAATTGAGTGGGATGAATGTAAGACGCTTGACTATGAGAGGATTTTTGAAAAGATGTAGAAACCAGCGTTTGTCTTTGATGGTATAGAAATGTTGTTGATGTAGAGAAGCTGGGAAGATAGGATTTATTGTTTACTCTATTGGTAAGTCATTGGACCAATGGATCAAGGATATGCATGCTCTTGCTTAGATTTGAGTATTTGCCCATTCTCAAGATTTGGAATGTTTTTGGGTTATATCAAATACTTTGTTATGTTTCTACAAAGTGACGAAATATTTTCCCATACTTTATAAATGTTGGTTAGATAGAGAGAATAAATTTGGTTATTATATTATTGCTAACGACGTTATACTTTGAGTATCCAATTTGTAAGCTTCTCACGCATTTTCATATATAAAGCTTTTACTGATTATATTTTTAAAATTATTAGTATCTTCATTTCACAGTGCATATATGATATTGTGGAAGATAAATGACTCAAAATCTCTTGTATTTGTCGTACACCTGCGGTTTGACTGGGTACAACTGGGTTTGTACTGGTACAACTAATACCAGAACTATATTGGATACAACTAAGACCATAACTATAACCATATATGTATCAGTATATGTACTTGTCGTATTCATACAACTATGTTCAACTAGGTATAATTAGGTTCGATAAGGTACAACTAAGATCATAAATGTATCCGTATTTGTATTCAATAATTATGAAAACGATAAATTAGAGTTAATAAGGATTCTAAAAACATGTTGAACTATAAATAAATAATTTTAAATAAGTAAAACTCGAATTTATCATTTTCCTAGTGCATACTATTGTTTTCATATGAAACACTCCTTATAGTATAAGGAACACTTTGTAGGTGATCACTTCTTTTGATGCAAAAGAGGTAAAAATTATGATTTCGTGCAAATTGTATTCTGAAAACCTCTTAAACGATAATTAATAGTGTAACATCATGTGTCCAACTAGAAATTACTAATTTTTATTAGAGTCCAACTGGAAATACACAAAAATCACAAAAATCCAACTATGAATATGACAGTACAACTAGACAACTAGGTACAACTATGTTTAAAGCAAAACAATTTACCACACGTGTGATGATTTAAAAATAATATCCCGCCGCCAAAATGATGCTTACGTGGATTAAAAATAATATCCCGCCGCCAAAAATGATGCTTACGTGGATAATTTTTTTTTTTTTACTTCTTTGAAATTTATTAAAAATTGTTTTTTTAAATGTTATTTTTAATTGTCTCAGTTGTACCAAAGTGATCTAGTTGTACTTTCTTATAAGTAATCCATACACATAGTTGTACCTAAATAGACTAGTTGTACCTACAAAACCAATTGAACATAAATATAATCTAAATATTATTTTGGTTTACAAAAATACGAAGTCATATGTTCTTAATCCACAACACAACAAAATACAAAAATGAAATACAAAAACATAAGTCATGTGCAATCTTAATCCACAAGTACGTGCAGACTTAACTTGTGCGCTTTCTTTCCAGTTCTTGATCAAGCTCTTCCTTCCACTTATCCTCTATCTTTGACAGAGCAACACTACAAAACCAAAATATACCAGTTGTACCTATACGTAGTTGTACCTAAATATACCAGTTGTACCTAAATAAACGATTGCATACAATATGATACATATAAATGAAAAGCTTAATCGAAAACATAAGTCATGTGTTGCCATGGGCATTAGTCACTAACATAATCATATGATTTAATCTTTTTGCATCTACCCAAAATCAAGCAAAAAGTATTACACCTAGTTCTATCATCTAAACTCTCCTTGCCTTCTAGAAATCTCTTCAAGCAATTTATGCATCCATTAACGAAGCAAAAGAGATGGCAACATAGCAGTTTCCCATTCCACAACACAAACCTTGGCACAGTAGGATCTCTCAACACCAAAAGGAGCTATATAAGATTACAATGTTTTTGATCCCAGGAAATGTGGAAGAAATATGTCCAGCCTCTTCAAATGTGACATTTAAAACTAACTACTCATGTATTTTGTTAACATCCAACTTAACAAAAGCTAGCTCAATACTAATGGTTCCGTAGGCCTAAGAAACTGGTTAAAATCTTCTGCTAACTAATTGGGATTGTAACAGCTTTTGGCATAAGTTGGTAAAACTCAAGACTGATGATACACTGACCTTAAGGCCATTTCTTGGCGAACACCGTATCTTACTTTCTTCTCGAAACATATGCGGACCAGGAGCAAGCTCAGTAGAACCACCCAACAACGACAACACAGCATCCACCTATGAAATCGATTTCCAAAAATTATTAAAAAAAACCATTGTTTCACAAATTTGCATCACAGGTGATAAGAAGAAGAAGAATATACATATACCTGCATTTCATGTATAAGCAACCCTGAGACTTCTCAATATAGAGTTTGCAAGAATAACATCTTTTCCAGTTCTTTTTCTTTGCCATCGTCGCGAGCGAAATATTATCTCTTCCTCTTTCGTTCCCTGCTAGCTTCTGAAACTCCTCGCAAGTTATCTCCGGATGCCACTTAGTCCCACACTCTACACACACCATTCTATGGCAATGAGGACACTCCGAATCTTTCATCTTCACTTCACTCTTGTCAATGAAAAGCAAAGTAGAGCAATCCTTATAAGGACAATATAATCTCTTTGAACGCATCAATACTGCTTCAGAAAGAGCATCATCCCACTGATCAAAAACCTCTCTTGGCAAGATTTGACGACACTTATCTGGCTCGAGCCGACCAGAGCTCTTGCAACCAGAGACAAGACACTCGATTGAGAGGATGTTGTCTTGTAATTTTGCAGCTATATATTTCGAGACACAATCGTTGTAGTAGAAGGTAGAGCAGTCTTCTGATGTCGCGACGGCGGAAACTGAGGAGGATGTGGGGGGGGATCGTAGAATAAAGAGGCGAAAACTGAGTGAACTTATTATCATCGAATACGATCGCAAACTTGGGAATCCCAATTTTGAACGGAGATCCCTTAGGAGAAACGTGACGGCTCTCCGGTAAAGATTTAGAAGAGAGGGTGAGGCATATGTGAGAGAGAGATGAATAATAAAGAAGTGGAGAAGAGACGATAGATCTGGCGAAATAGAGAGAAAGGAAGCGGAGAGAGCGAGTGTGGATATGGAAGAGGAGGAGGAGCGGAGGAGACGACTGAGACGAGAAGCAGCGGTGGTTGTGCGGAGAGAAGTAGACATGATTGTGATTGGAGATCGATGGGAGTGTTTGGTTGTAGAGATAGTAAATTTGAGGTATGATTTTGTAATTGTTGATCTTTTGAAAGGGTTTTTTAGACATTTCCTTAGTTTTTGATTTTAAAAAAAATGTTAAATGAAATTAAAAATTAGAGGTGGCATTCCAGCCTTTTTTTTTCCCTAAAGTGGCTTTCCAGCCATTGTTTCTCATATGAGGGTTAGTTCTCTTCACTCCTCTTCTCCGACAGTTCTGATTCCGAAACTCAATTTCGCGAAGATTTTTCTTTCGCGCCGACTCTCACTTATTTTTCGATTTAAGCTTTGCCTTGTGAAACTAACATTGGCCCTTTTACTCGCAGATAAATCGGATTTCTTTAAACAGCCAATTTCGGTAACAAAAAAAAAAAAAAAAAATCGGATTTCTTTCTGATCCTAAACGCATTCAAATAGGAAACATGTCTGGGTAAGTCTTTTTTGTTTTTTTATTGGATCATTGTTCTCAATTTCTATTTCTGAATCTGCTGAATTGGCTATTGATACATCCTACTTGGAGGGATTTTTCTGGGTTTTTGATTTTCATTTCATTTGATTTTTTTTTTTATATTAGATTGAATGTTGTTGTCTGTTGGCAATTGAAAGTTCAAGATTTTGAGTTCACAGTTTTGTTTTCGAATTTTACTCTGCTTACAT